GAATCAACAATTGGACAGGAAAATGAACTAAGTTTCTTTTTCTTTAAAGCTTAGAAAAAATGAGGCAAAAAAGCAAGATGATCCCTCGTGAGCTCTTGGGAGTCAGGGGCTCCTAAGACCTAGTAGCCCTGACCTCTTCTCCCCATCCGTTCCCACAGCTGCGGTACCTATTGTGGCCAGGTGGGACAGAGTGTGGACTAGAGCAAAGCAATCAAGAAGGGTTAGGTCTCTACCTCCAGATAGGGTGGGGCACGGAAACAGGGTTGGGGGAGGGAAGAGGTCCCAGGCACACCTCCCAGTTCTCGGGAGGGAGCCCAGGGTGGCAAGACGAGAAAGCCTGGCTCGGATTCAGAACCCTGGGGGGCAGAAGGCCGGGGCCGCCTGGGTCCGATCCTCGGAGAAGGCAGGCGTCTCCACCCACCTTCTTCAGGTGCCTCTCTCGGCCTCCTTTCACCTACAAGTCAAGAAGGAGATACGGGGAAGGGAGAAATCACACTAGCCCCTCACTGCTAGTAAAACTCAACTCCACACCTTCCTCTCAAGACTACAAATCCCAGCAGGCCCCATCCCAGGGAGAACTCTGAGCATGCTCACCTTGCAACCAGTGTCTTGGCTCACTGAGCATGCTCCCATCTCCTCTTTCTTCCCCCTCAGGCCCTTTCCAGCCCCTCCCTCCTCTGGAGCAGCTAATTTGAGCATGCTCTCTCAATCCTCCCCAGCACCCAGGGCTCCCAGAAGCTTCTAGGCCTGGGGCCAGTTCCCCCTCACCTGTACTTTCCTGCACTGAGCATGCTTCACCGTCCCACCCCCAGCAGCTTCTGGACTCCTTCTCCCCACAGCCCCTGGGGGACACACCTGAGACCATCCTAGGCCCACCCGCTCTGCCATTGTGGGCTAAAACTACAGTTCCCACAATCTCTTTGACCTGACCTAGTGAGCAAGCTCCCTGGCTCACCTTTTTCCTTGGGGCTGGGGGCTCACTGCCTGCCTCCCTCTCCTTTCGTTTAGGGGGCCCAGGCACGTCCTCTGGTGGGGGACCAGCAGGTAAGGGGCCCTTGCGCCTGGGTGGGGGCGGTGGAAGCGGCGGCTCCTCCGTCAGCTTCCATCCACTCCCCAGGCTGGCCCCCTCCTCACCATTGTCAGCCCTCCTGCGGCCCGGGCCCTCCCCTGAATCCTGGGGAAATGGAGAAGGGGCATGAAGTTCTGCACAGCCCCTCCACCCATCAGCCTCCCAGAGCCCAACACCTGCTCAGCCCCTATCTGTACCTTGCTGGTCCGGCCTTCCTGGGTACAACGAGGGCACTCCCAGCAATTGGGAATCTCTGCATTGATGACACCCTCAGCCTTCCCCATCTGTGGGAAAGGCAGGGAGTGGATATAGGGTGCCATAACCCCCTCAGGCAGCATTTCCAGCTTCCTCCTTCCTTAACTATCTGCCCCACCCCAGACTCCTCGGCCCTAGGGGTTATTACCTTTAGGCAACCGGGGTGGACAATCTCGTTGCAGATTGTACACTCCATGAGGCTCAAACCAAATTTCTCTTCCTCTCCCTCCACCGTGTCCTCCTTCCCAGCCTCCCCACACAAGAGGCACACAGCTGTGTGTGGGAGCACGGGCTGCAGGGAGAGAGAAGGTATCAGAGGCCTTGAAACAAGAGGAAGAGACCCTCCCTTTGGGGGGCCCTGGCTAGCTGCTGGATAAGGACAAAGATTTGGAACATAAGGGCCAAGATGGGTCAAATCCTTGCCTGCTCCTTTTTGGTTGTGTGACCTTGAGAAACAGATTTAACCTCCTTAAGCCTCCGTTTCCACATCTCTAAAATACAACGAACGACGTTTTTGCCCTTGTAGGACCGTTGTAACAATTACATAATGCTTATAGGGCACCCGATTAGTAATTCTCCCTGTCCTGAAGACTCTACCTGTGGGGCTGGGAAAATACAGCCATACAGGACAGCGGGACTCAGAGGGCACAGCAGCAGCGTGGGGGTGACTCTGAGGTTGAGCAATGGGCAGAAAGGAATCCAAAGATGGTCCCAGACCCCACAATGAACTCACTTTTGGGGAGAACCCGAGGAATACTAAAGGCAGCTGGTTAGATCTAGAGGCAATGGAACAACCTTCTGACAATATGACCCAGGATCAAAGTGCTAATATGGTGCCAGATTGGAGATACTGAGGCTCTAAGGTGAGTTCAAGAAAGATGACAGCAGAAGACGAAAAGAGAAAGGGGTAGCAGGGCAAAGAGGCTAATCGGACAGTGTGGCTGGAAGATGAGAGGACAGTGGTGGTGTAGGAAGTGGGTGCAGGAGGTACCTGGCTTGGCATGGTCCCTCTCTAGAGGTCTGAGGCCAAAGGATGATAAAGGGAGGGAGGAAACCCCCATTTCTCTCACATCTACTGTGTGCTAAGCATTGTACTAGACGCTGTTACATCCACACCATTGTTTATCTTTACAACTCAACAAAGGAAATAATTTACAGAAGGTACCTGAGGCTCCAAGTGGTTGGCTCAAGGTCACATGAAGGGTAAGCCTGGCTCAAACTCAACACTGCCCTGAGCTGTGAGGAAAGAGGCCAGAGGAGGGCAAGCCCTGCTTACAGAGGCCAGCTATGGGAGTGGGCTCTTGGCAGCAAATGCTTCCGGGGAGGGGAAAAAAATGAACTTTCTATGAGCTTTTGCTCCTACAAGGGACGAAAAGGCAGGAAGGGGTCAGGTCCAGCTAAGCCTACAAGCTTTGCCTCCAGCTTGAGGCAGAGCACAAAGATGGACGGAGTGGATTTTTAAACAAGTGAATGAATAAAAGTATACGAATAAGTGAGCAAACAGCAACTGGGCAGTCCATTCTGGGAAGGTCCCCAAGCCACCCTAGAAAGGCCAGCAAGCCACATGGGGAAGGGTGCCCCCACACTGGAGGCTGAACTCACGGCGGTGCACTGCCGGAGCAGGCACGACTGCTTCATGCGCCCAGGCCCCCCGAACTTCTTCATGTCTCGGCAGAAGTGGCAGTCCCCGCACTCAGTTCGCACACAGGCCCGGCAGCGGCGGCAGCGGGTTCGGCGTCGGCGCGCTCCGGCCCCCGGTCCCCGGCTGCTCGACGACATTGGGGGCGTCAGCAACGCCGAGGGCTGTGGATGGATAACGGAAAGGTTAGGTAGGCCCACTTGGGCCCCTGGCCTGGGAGACTCACCCGACTTCCAGGTAGCCAAGGGTCTACCCATATATCCAAGACAACAAGGTCATGCCTTCTGCTGAAGTGTGTCTGTGTGTAGGGCGAACCAGTCCCTCCCTTCACTCAATGCCTCTCTCCCCCACATGGCCAGCTTCCTGCTCTCCTCTAAGACTTCTTCAGAACCCCCTTCCCTAAGCAAGGGGAAAGGAAGACACACTGGACCCTCTCCCCTGACGTCTACACACTGAAGCCCCTTGTTGGTAAAGTGGTCTGAGCAAAGATCCCAGCTCTTCCCCTTGGGATCCAAATGCAGTGTACCTCGCAGCTTTCCCCAACCTGAAACCCCCCAGCTTTACCTGCAAGACACCCAGATTGTTGAGTGGAAGAGTCACCCTTCTTTCTCTCTCCTTTCTCCCTCTTTCTCTGTCTGTCTGTCTCTCTCACTGAGGATTTAGATAAGCTCCAGCGCAGACCCCACCCAACCTCTACCTCCACACCTAGATAGCATCACCAGATCCAATGGGATCTTATCTCATCTCAACTTCCCAGGACTCTAAAACCCCACTGTGAGGTCCAAGATCTCACACCCTTGGCTCCTCTTAGAGGTTCCTCTGACCCAACACCCTCTCTCCTTGCGTCCCTCAGGTCAACCTGGGCAATCTCCCAAATTCCCAAGGAATCTAAAATCCTGCCTGACATTCCCATAAAGCTCAGGATGGGCTCAATTCTTTTCATGCCTAATTGTCTGGAATCCCTTGGGCTGCATTTCCCATGGAAACCAGATTCTGCAAGATCCCATACGGACTCAGAAGGCCTGGAGGGTCTCTATTCCAGGCCAGTCTTACCCCAGCTTCCCTCTTTGCAGGGACTTCCAGCCCCATCCAAGAGGGGAGGGGCCTGGAGGGTAGCACTGCTGGCGAGGGTGGGGGTCTGCAGGGGGAAGCGGGATCTGGACAGGAAGGCTAGCTCCCCAGGGTTGAAATAGGAAGGAGAGCTAGAGAGGCAGAGGCGGTGTGCAGAGCAGAGGTGAGGCGGGGGGGCGGGGAAGGTGAGGCGGCCGGTGGAGGATGAATGGGAGTGGGAGCTGCCCAGGACCGAGGGCGAGGAGGCGCCGCATGAACCCACCTCACACGTGTCCCGGGAGCCATCTCTCCCTTCTCGGCAGCTCCCGGCGGGTCGGCGGCCATCGGCGGCGGGGGGGCCGGGCGGCGCGGGGCGTGGAACGCTCAGAACGCCGGGGTCCACGGCCCCCCGAGGGCGCTCGGCCCCTCCCTCCGGCGGAGGCCGGGACGGCGGCGAGTGGAGATGGGGGGCGCCGGGGGCGAGGCCCTCCCACGGGCTGCGGCGCGGCCCTTCCAGGGGGAGGTCCTGCTCCGGGGGGCTCAGTCCCTCAGCCCCCCCAGGCCAGCGGGGGCTTCTCGGCCGCAGGGTACTCAGCTTCGGCCCGGGCCCCAATCAGTCCGGGGTCCGAGTCCCAGCTCCCCT